AGACAATCGGGGTAGGCGGCACTTTATTGGGAATGACAGATCCGAAATAAATTGAACACTTTGAAGATACCCGTTTTGTTCCCGCTCCGATGACCTTGTGGATCGAGGGACTGCCTTGTTCCTTCAAAATGTTGCATTCTGCATAAACAGAGTGAAAGTAGTTCTGTTTGCGGCGTTACTCAACCCCGAATCCACCGGACGCTAACTATGATCGATCTGTATCGTTTTTCGGGAATAACAAGGCTGCGTTCGTTCAGGTTTATAGAAGTTTTTGTTGGAGTTCTTCAGTGATCACTAGATTGAGGATTTCATGCATTCATGGTAAAATTGAGTAGTTATAAGTTAAAATCGTGTAAAGATTAAAGGAATTTCGAAATGTCAATCTATTATTTTTAATCTACTGAAATGAATTAAGGAAAGTAAAAACTAAAAAAAGGAAACTTGTTACTCGGTCTGCATTTCTTGGAATTGATGAAATTGACAATTTTTATTTTTCATAACAATCCGCAGTAATTATCACTAAACTGCGATTTTTTTTTTTTAAATAAAAATTACAAGGTACAGATGTACATAGCCATCTATTTATTTCCTTAATCATTTGAAAATAGTACAACGGATTTGTAAGTTCTTTAAATGTTTTTATTGCATTGCATTCGACCCATTCGTTTTTCACTCATAATTCCATAAAATCAAGTTAAATAATTGTGTTACAGTTGACATCATATATCGAACGAAATCGACGGCCATTTCCTGATACATTAATGAAATGTTTTGTGTAAGAGATGTTTGCTATATTTAATCCTTAATTGCTATTCCCTTTTCTCTGTTCAATTTTTCCCTCGGAATAAAATCATTCTCTCACAGAAATCGTTTGGCTTACAAATTTTCACGTTATCCAGAAATAAAAGAGCAATATACGAGAAAGAAAGTGTCCAATTGTAATCATTAGACAGCGGATTTTATGCAATTTATGGGAAAAATGTATAGGTGAAACATAGAGCAGTGAAACAAAATGAGAAGAAACTAAAAATATCGATATGTTAATTACAGCTTATTAAAATTATTTAACAGGGAAACAAGATCGCACTCGGCTCCTATTGTCTAGCAATTGATGCAGACGATTTTTGCTTTGCATAAAAATTCGCAGTTTAACAATAATACAGCAATGGTAAAGATCTTACCAGTTAAGAAAATGTATCTACGAGGGCTGTCGTAAGCAAACATCGCTGGCTGTTTGCTTTATTTATAACTCAAGAATTTTGACGTGAAAGAAAGTAGTATTGTTCCGAGTGAACAATAGATCCAGGAAGTCGGAGCACACACAGTTATTGATCTTTTCTATGGTTGAAGTGATTCATACATCTCTGGTATCAACGACAAAACTCTCGTAGGATTGTCCCCGGTAGATCTGGCATTATAAATAGTTTGTACTGACTCACATAGTCCACTTCGGCTACGAACGAGCGCAAACTGCAACAAAATAGTTAGACTTTCCGACCTTATTTCCGTCCGCGTCTTTGCAGACCCATGCAATCGTATCAGATCGCCCAATAAAATTTATCTTACGACAGACAGTTATGTGTCTAGGAGAAACGGCCTTAGTAAACTGTTGCAATTCGTCGTTGGGACTCGTTCGAAGTGTCTCTGGAGATCAGATAAACAGTTGACCCGTGATCGAATTTATTATCTGTGTTGCGGCAACTGATCTGATTGCGCGTTAATAATGACCGGTCTACCTGATCTGTCCGGCCAATTCGATGTTGCAGCGCCGGAATCTTTCGTTACAACTTTATACGACCGTCTTGGTCGACTATCGCAACGTTACAGAAACTCTAGATTTTTAAATAGTCCGTCTAGTTACTTGTTGATTTCTTTGAAAACGCCAGTGCAGTATTTTCAGCCATTAGACGGCAGATCTTTGTGCAAAATAAAAATAATTTGATTTATGTTGTATACAATATTTATAACGATTTTGTGCATTGATGCCAAAAATTGGTAGGCGAAATATAAGATAGTCGTAAGATTGAACGAAATCACGAGTGTCGAGGTATCAATTTCAACTTATTAAAATTATTTCCTTAATCTGCAATCGATGTAGTCATTTTCTATTTTGCATAAAGATCCGCAGTCTATTTACCATTATATTTGCAATGGAAAAATTTTGTTCCGTCAATTACGTAAACAAATTTAGAATAAATTAAAAATGTTCTCTATCGATTTCAAGAAATAGAGAAGTCGAATATACCTCTTCTCTTAATAGTTGTAATTACTTAAAAATATCATGTTGCGACTTAAAAATAATGTTCTCTATTTCTCGCGTTTCACGTTACAATTTTTCCAATAAAAGCATAACATTCGCAGTCTATTAATCGCATAAAATTTAATTGCCCGTACCGGGAATTTAATAATGGATTTTCACTTTTCGATTACATTTCGAGGCAAACACTTAACCGCCCGCATAATCGGTAGCCAGCAATCAAATTACATTTAGCTCGGCTCATCGGGACGCCGCCTTTTTAATCAGCCTGTTTCCAAAGTAATCAATCGATGGCCTGGTTGGACGCTTAATGGGACAGCCTGGTTCTAGTGCAAAGTGTCCACGGTATATGAATGCAGGTCCGTCGCAGCATAGAATGCAGATATCTCGAGACGGAGCGGCCGAGGATCTTCATCAGTAGATTGCCGAACCAATGCATCTGGAACCGGAGGTTCTTATCCGAGCATTTTTATCCGAGGAAAGTGGAGCCGGCGGGAGAACGCGCGGGATTTGAAGAATCATCGGGACAAGTGCTCGTGCACGCGTTGCCAAACGAGGCTCCCGTCCGAGACAAAGAAAGCTCCTTGTCTTGGCATACGAATTTTTCCGTGGTCCCCCCGTGAAGGAGAAACAAGAGGAATGAAAGAAAGAGACAGAAGGAGATGCAAAGAGCGGAAAGGAGAAACGTGAGGAACGTGAAACGTGCGCGGCTTCCAGCGATTCGAGCAGGATCGAAGCGGCGCACGCACGTCTGTTCACGCGTGCATTTGCATACGCGCTGCAATGCAGGGTGAAAGTACCGGTACCGTGTCGCTTTTTCGTCCGGACAAAGCCTATTAGACACACTCAAGGGGGTATTCCAGTCTAGAACGAGATAGCGAGCGACGACTTCCCCGTTTCTCGTCGCCAAGCCTCCAAATCCCTAGCTCCTTGCATCTTACTTTTGTTTTAGTGGTCTTTGAATTTTTCGACCGAGGTAGAACATAAATATCGAGGCTAGACATCCGGTGCCATATTTGCTAACATTTTGTCAAGTATAGTACACTTTCTACAATTTTTCGAAGGGCGTACTCCGTATTTTTCTGCTTCTTCGCTCTTTCTTCGAGCAAATGTTACAAAATGAAAATTGTCAGCATCAATAATTAGAAAATACAGGAGCCAAATGAAAATTTGTTTCTGTCCTTTATTGTTCCAGAAGGATCGAAATAACGCATTGATATTGTATAATAACGGGTAACTGTAAGTTATCATGTATCCGTGTGCGTCAAAATATATAAATATATTCTCATTTTTTTTGTGTTATTAAAGCTTACCACCCTAATATATCTTTCTTAATTATTCCACAATACTCTTCATTACTTTTCAACTTTTTATCGTTGAGATACTTTTATCAGAGATGCATTAAATCCACAATCTAATGTATTAACAGTTATCTTTATGGACGTTTGAAACATTATCGAAAAATCTTCAAAACAATTGGCATTATCTTCCTATTGGTAAGCATGTTGACTTCTTCGAGATACATTCGGCCGTTGTGACTCATCGATCAGGTTACTTATCAGAAGTGAAGATTGACAAAAAATGAGGATACCAATTTCTGCGAATTTCTAGACCAGCATATCCTCGATGCTTGTTTCTCAGCTTATCCCGTACTTCTGCCGATACCTTATCGTCGACAACGCGAGAATTATCGCTACGATTGACTTTGGCAGTCACGGATAAACTTATTAATACCCTTCTGCGTAAGAAACGTAGGCAATTGAGATCATCGTAAATAAATAGGTGTTTGTTGTCGATACAACTTGAAGACATTTGTACGTAATACTGTAGCTACTTGGAGCTTGCCGACGTAGTGATTCGACGTAGTGACTCGCAATTCCCTGCAGATTTCACAGTAAACGACAAAGTCGTGAATCTGGCGCGCATCTCCATGGATCATAGTTTCCCAACATTGCGTCGATCAACATACGTGCGTTTAAATTTCAGTTTCCAAATAGTCTATTGTTACGATTACACTGTGGAACCTCAGAGGAATTAAATGTAAATCGATTATATCTTCTAAATAATTTTGATAAATGAAAAATAGTGTAACGATATTATTAACGACAAACGATATTATGTCTTCACAATATCATATTCCAGCGACTCATTATCGCAATCGATGCATAAGATCCGCATAAAAAAGGTCGAGACACTTATCGTTAGACTGCGAATCTTACGCTAGAAATTGAGAAACGCGAGACTGTGAGGACATTAAAAAGATTTGAGATTGCTAATATACATTATTCTCGAATTATTAGAATCACGAGAAGAACTACATTTTCAGTTCCCTATCATTGATATAGAAACTATCTATGTTGCAAAGAGCTCCGCAGTCTACCTATCAGACTGTCTGATTAGACGTACAAGTGATACTCTAGCTAAACGTTGCAGCTTTTCCTAATAAACGTAAAAGATGAAAGAAAGCAATGATCAACAGATAATTTGGTAGCTGTCACAAATTTTGTAAATCCAGACACCTTGTCGGAAGAGATCGTTAATCGACTCAAACGCCGCTGACAGTGCCGTCATAAAAATGAAAATGTTGGGAAACTACGTCCAAAAGGGCAAGGAGCACAGTCCCTAATCGCAAGCTTCGCACTAGCGCGCCGACCAGCTCAGAGCACGTATCACGGTCCGAAAATACCCGTCCACAGGTCAGCGTGGCCGGGACAAATACTAATTTATATTTATCTTCTTTCAGATCAGTCTCGATCCTCGGCACCGGGGGAGCGAGCTTAGCGATGTAGCTCGATCATCGCCCCAGCGAAATCCTAACATCAGCAAACACAGCTAAACTACAGTGTACCAATAAAAACAGTGTATCGTCAAGTAATTCCTAGTGATCATTTCGAACCACTTATCTCGTACTTAAAGAAGAAATCAATGTCACCGCGAGAAGCGAAGAAACCGTCGAATCGAGCTCAGTGAAAAGTCGGCGAGGTCGGAGCGGAGGACAATGGGGAGACAGGCAACAGGCGGAAGCAGGATCGCGTGGACGGAAGCTAGGCAGCGGTCGCGGTCGTGGGGGACGCGTTTCTTGGGCCGAGTGGCCTGAGATATGCCAGGAGTGGCGATCCCGTTGACAACGGAAGCAGCGTCGTCGAGGCCGCGAGCCGTAGCCGAGTCCAGGTCGGGATCGAGCGGCGTGGGTGGCCGGTCGCTGGCGTTAGAGATCGAGACGATCGAGCGCCGGGTCTGCGCGACCCGACGCGACCTGTTCGTGCCGGTGACGGTCGATCCACGACCGGCCCGCGCGGTCCACTGTCCGGACCTGAACGCCTGTCTGATCAACGAGAGCCGGCCGAAGGAGGATCAGGTCGACTGCCAGGCGGTGCACTTCGGCTACGCGATCCCGGTGAACGTGGTGCCGGTCGAGGGCAGCCCGGAGCTGGTGCAGCTGGTGCTGGACCACTCGCAGGAGCTGAGCAGTCGGGTGGCCAGCTTCCTGCTGGACCACCATCCGCAGTTGCGGGAGCTGAGGCCGGACCCGGAGATGGCAGCGACCGCGAAGCACGACCTGCGCCGGAAGTACCCGACGACCGCCTCGGACACGTCCAGCTCCGGCGACGAGGACATCGCGGCGATCGCGAAACAGATCAGCGATCACGCCGAGGCGATCTACCAGACCTGGAAGAGCCGGGGCCTGGCGCCCACCGAGATCCTGAACTGCCACAGCAATGCGACCGCCGCGGACAAGTTCGGCACCGCGCTCACGCCGACCAACGCGGCCATCAGCCCCGGGAAGACCTCCCCGACGGCTGCCTCGTCGGCGAACGCCACCGTCGACATCCTGGCGCAGTCGCCGAACCTGGACAACGGCAACCTGGAGAAGCTGGTGAACAACTTCGTGGTGGAGGACAAGGCCAGGATAGCCGCGTCCAGACAGAGGTCGCCGTCCAAGACGCTGCCATCCTCGATTCAATTCGCGCTGCAGAAGTTCGAGAGGAACTCCACGCAGCAGCAACAGCAGCAGCAGACCTCGCCGTTGAAGAACAGCAACGCTGCCAGCCAGTCGAAGGCGAAGCAGAACGTTCTTCTTTCCCCGACTTCGCCGTACGCTAACAAGCCCTCGCAGATCGTGAAGCCGCAGGTCTCCACGAAGACGCCGCCCGGCGCGCATCACAGGGAGGTCTTCCTGGAGACGATCGAGACCACGTTCCCGGCGGACCTCGCGCCGTCGAAGATCGTCCAGCAGAAGAGGCCGGCAAGCACCGTGATTACGTCGCCGACCTCTCCGAACTTGGAGAACGCTTCGAACTCGGTGAATTCCGGCTTGACCACATGGCCGTTGAAGAACAAGCTGAACGAGAACAAGAGATTGACGGACTCGTCGAGGTCGCAGCTGGAGACCAAACCGCTGACGAAGGAGGAGAAGAGAAGCAGCGGGTCGAACTCGAGCGTGTATCTTGACGAGGTCGCGCGGGAGGAGGAGCGGCTGATCAACGCGCTGAAGACCGGCTCGGTGATCACGGAAGAGCCCGCGGAGAGGACCGTGCCCCTGACGCGGCAGAAGCCGGCGATCAAGCGGGAGAAGCCGAAGGTGGAGCCGGTGAAGCCGATCCTAATCGGGCACAATCATCACGGGAGCGGCCTGATGCCAGCTTCCGCGGCGATGGTGAACAATGTGGTCTCCGCTGCGCCCGGGGCCAACACGAGCCTCGCTTCCGACGCCAAGACCCTCACCAAGGACGAGCTGTCGAACATGTCCGTGGTGCACTACGCGAAAGTAAGGTACAGAGCGGCGCAGCAGAACCCTGCAACCCAGCAGAGGCTAGAGGAGCAGAAGACCAGCAACGCGCAAGCGTTCAACGCCAGCGAGCAACTGGTCTCAACGGCCCGGTCCAAGTTCGAGACCGAAATCAAGAAGGACAAGGACGCTAACAAAGAGGACAAGGATCCTGTGACCTCCAGGTGGGGACCCAGGATCAACACTCCTAGACCTAGGATCGAGCAAGTGCCTCATCCGGAATTGACCACGCAACAGAAACAGCATATCAGAGCCGCGGCGGCGACCGGGACCGGAAACAATCCTATCAGACCGTTCTTGACTAGGGGATCGGTCGCCGAACGCGTGCTCATCTTCGAGAAGTGTCCCAGCGAGCTGCTCCTGGACAAACGCGGACCGAGGCAGCCCGCTATTAACACCTGGAGGACCGGCCACGAGGTTCAGAATAAGGCTCAGGTAAATTCGACGGGACCTGTGTCTAATACTTTAATTGCATGCATATCTTGATCAAGATCGTTGAACCGGGCCTGTTGCTGCAATCGTTGGCACGTTTTCTCGCGATAGATCTTCTTCGTTGTCTTTTCGAAGATCTTGTACATCATCTTAAACTCTCCGATTTTCTCCGGTCTTTTAACTCTTCTAATGATGATACGATCTTAATGTCTGCGACGTTATCATCGATGTGTTCTCTAGGGTAATCATTAGGGTTCTCAAATCGTTCACAGTGCAATCTTCATTCATCACTGGATTCAACTTTAAACAAGTCGTTATTAATATACGTTAATGTAATTGCTAAAAAATGCATGTGATTAATTAACTCAGTGTAAATTGACTTGCACCTACTAATTTAGAAATCCGCGATATTTTCTGAAACAATAACTGGCAGTAATTGGTAACCCGGGTAAGGTAAAGAAATTACTATTCAGATTCTTTAATGTTAACACCTTGACTGCCAGACCAACGATCTCAAAAATCTCAACACATTAAAGTAATTTATTTACATTCGTACGTTTTGTGAATGCTACTAAAATTAGGAAGACTTAACATAAGTCTTCGTAATACGGAAAGACGTAATGATACATTTTCAAATCTGAGTAAATAATTCAAAGTGTTAAGCAGTTTTTGAGATCAAGAATAGTTCGATTTTTATGAGTCATATGTTTGAAAATTTCGTATCCATGTTTGGTTCTACTTGAAGATAACGCAGCATAATTTTAACACAATTATCGGTATTATTATCATCATTAACAATTATCATATTATTATTAACATTATCGGTATTATTATTATTATTATTATTATTATCGGTATTATCATTAACATCATCGTACAGTTCCTGTAGCATATAATTTTCCATAACAGCTTGAAAGCAGTCTAAAAAGTCACTGGCTGTTCGGAGCAATCTGAGAATGTAAATCAATCTTGTTCTCTCTCTCTCTCTCTCTCTCTCTCTCTCTCTCTCTCTTTCTCTCTCTCCACGATTTTCTTTAGAAGACGCATTTCTTTGGTCGCGAAGAGAAACTAGACGCTTGCCGCGGGTTTAAATTGCAGGTTCGATTCGACGTAATCGCGTTATCGATCCGGTGTACAGTGTCCAACAACGAGTCCGGTCCAAGTGGCAATTAAACGCAGCCAGCGTTCCTAATTATATATGCCGAGAGGAGGAAGCCTCAATTATCCTCCGACTAGAATCTCTGCCAGGGGTAGTTCCACACCGAGTACTGTAACATCTTAGAAAAACCGGGCTGTCTTTAGGAAAAAGTTGGCCTCTCAACCCTTTTATCGTCCTCTCATCGCTTCTAACCAATACGAACTTTATCTTTTATGCGTAATTAAGTGCCGAGTGGCATTTCACTCTACATTATGAGACATGGTTTTATTTTCAAAGTGATGGTTACCTCGAGGATCTTATTCATGGTAAAAAAGCAACCATTAAGTGGAACTCAAAGTTCAATTAACCGAATGCTGTAAATAAGAATGAATTTAAAATATGTTCTAAATTATTGATCGTACATTGAACGATTAAGAATGACTGTCAACCGTAATTGACCGATGTCTTAAAATGTAATTTTTACACGCCAAAATATTGAAAAGACGAGTGAAATAAATTATAAAGTTCTTATCAATCAACTTAACTCTGAATTATCTTAACAATAAATTTGACCAGCGAAAAATACACGTGTTAGTAAAGAATACACATGTTAGTAAACAATAACACTATTTGTTTCTCATAATGTGGAAAATGTGACTTACACCATTATTTCTTTGGCTAGCTCAATTATGAGAGAAGAAGTACTACAGAAACAAAACATGGACTTTAAAGTACCGGCATTTTGTTAAATAATGAGATAGTTTATTCATCTTGGTACGGACGATAGCTATACATGTACTTTCGAAAATGCCTCCTTAGTTTTTTTATTTTCAATCGACAGAACAGTAGCATTCGCGTAATTCGAAATGGCACACTGATTTTCTGAATACAACTCATTCAAAAACATAGCTCTTACAATTTTTAATATATACGCTTAAAAAATATATACATTCTACCTCGAATACTAGCAGAAGTATATGCAAGAAATCAATGCAAAATAGTAATTTATTTTCTCGTAAAAAAATCCCAAAGATGACCTAAAAAAACACCTCTCGACCAGAATACCCAGTTAAGTTTAAAAGATTCTCGAAGAGCTCGCAGCGATGACCATTTCGATCAGATTGTATCGTACGATCGAGCCGGCAGGATTCGGCTAGGTGGCCGGCGGAGGCCATCAGGAAAATCTTGCGGAACAGTACGCGTGTGCGAGAGGAAAATCGAAGCAGACAGTGTGCCACGCTTTTCATGGAAGGGGCGTCTAATTCGGCCGGGGACGGAGCCATGGCCCGAGCATGATCGGGAAGAGACGTGTCGCCTCGCATGTTCTTGCCTCGCTGGGTGGCTTATATCGGGCCTTCTTGGGCCACGTCCAAATTCCTCTTCCCGGCGAGGATGTCCCGACCGGTCGGACTCCTGTACTTTTGTCCCGAAACGAGTTCAAGATCTCGCGTAGAGGTCGTTTCAGCTTCCTCGCCCCTCGAAGTGAGCATACTCGAGGACCATCCGGCGATCTTCCTCGGATCTTGCTCGTTTTTCACGGTGGTCGTTTCCAGATAGGGGCTGATTCAATATACTCGTTAACGCCAANTGTTCGGAGCAATCTGAGAATGTAAATCAATCTTGTTCTCTCTCTCTCTCTCTCTCTCTCTCTCTCTCTCTCTCTTTCTCTCTCTCCACGATTTTCTTTAGAAGACGCATTTCTTTGGTCGCGAAGAGAAACTAGACGCTTGCCGCGGGTTTAAATTGCAGGTTCGATTCGACGTAATCGCGTTATCGATCCGGTGTACAGTGTCCAACAACGAGTCCGGTCCAAGTGGCAATTAAACGCAGCCAGCGTTCCTAATTATATATGCCGAGAGGAGGAAGCCTCAATTATCCTCCGACTAGAATCTCTGCCAGGGGTAGTTCCACACCGAGTACTGTAACATCTTAGAAAAACCGGGCTGTCTTTAGGAAAAAGTTGGCCTCTCAACCCTTTTATCGTCCTCTCATCGCTTCTAACCAATACGAACTTTATCTTTTATGCGTAATTAAGTGCCGAGTGGCATTTCACTCTACATTATGAGACATGGTTTTATTTTCAAAGTGATGGTTACCTCGAGGATCTTATTCATGGTAAAAAAGCAACCATTAAGTGGAACTCAAAGTTCAATTAACCGAATGCTGTAAATAAGAATGAATTTAAAATATGTTCTAAATTATTGATCGTACATTGAACGATTAAGAATGACTGTCAACCGTAATTGACCGATGTCTTAAAATGTAATTTTTACACGCCAAAATATTGAAAAGACGAGTGAAATAAATTATAAAGTTCTTATCAATCAACTTAACTCTGAATTATCTTAACAATAAATTTGACCAGCGAAAAATACACGTGTTAGTAAAGAATACACATGTTAGTAAACAATAACACTATTTGTTTCTCATAATGTGGAAAATGTGACTTACACCATTATTTCTTTGGCTAGCTCAATTATGAGAGAAGAAGTACTACAGAAACAAAACATGGACTTTAAAGTACCGGCATTTTGTTAAATAATGAGATAGTTTATTCATCTTGGTACGGACGATAGCTATACATGTACTTTCGAAAATGCCTCCTTAGTTTTTTTATTTTCAATCGACAGAACAGTAGCATTCGCGTAATTCGAAATGGCACACTGATTTTCTGAATACAACTCATTCAAAAACATAGCTCTTACAATTTTTAATATATACGCTTAAAAAATATATACATTCTACCTCGAATACTAGCAGAAGTATATGCAAGAAATCAATGCAAAATAGTAATTTATTTTCTCGTAAAAAAATCCCAAAGATGACCTAAAAAAACACCTCTCGACCAGAATACCCAGTTAAGTTTAAAAGATTCTCGAAGAGCTCGCAGCGATGACCATTTCGATCAGATTGTATCGTACGATCGAGCCGGCAGGATTCGGCTAGGTGGCCGGCGGAGGCCATCAGGAAAATCTTGCGGAACAGTACGCGTGTGCGAGAGGAAAATCGAAGCAGACAGTGTGCCACGCTTTTCATGGAAGGGGCGTCTAATTCGGCCGGGGACGGAGCCATGGCCCGAGCATGATCGGGAAGAGACGTGTCGCCTCGCATGTTCTTGCCTCGCTGGGTGGCTTATATCGGGCCTTCTTGGGCCACGTCCAAATTCCTCTTCCCGGCGAGGATGTCCCGACCGGTCGGACTCCTGTACTTTTGTCCCGAAACGAGTTCAAGATCTCGCGTAGAGGTCGTTTCAGCTTCCTCGCCCCTCGAAGTGAGCATACTCGAGGACCATCCGGCGATCTTCCTCGGATCTTGCTCGTTTTTCACGGTGGTCGTTTCCAGATAGGGGCTGATTCAATATACTCGTTAACGCCAATCCGTAGCAATTCTTCGGCGTCCTTTTATCAATCGAACCACTGACTCACTGCTACAATTTATTGTAGTTTACGGCTCGGCCGTAAATTATTCTTGAGTACGTCGATGAAACGGTCTCTACACACCGCGACAGAACTATAAGATACTACCGAATTTCTAGTGTTTCTTAACACCATGGACGTATACAAAGTTTTTGTATTGAAATATACACGAAGTATCTCTTCTGTAGTAACATGCAAAAATTGGCCAGTATCGTGCTGTTTCACAGTAATGGTAATAATTTATAAGAAATACGGGCGCGATAAAACTATAAACTTGGGTTTCCGTGAAAAATCACACATAAAATTCTTCTTTGTGCATTTTAATAATCCGCATTTCCACCCTTCCTTTTCGCAATGTCCAAAAGATTTCACTGAAATGTTTAGTATGCATATAAATTACCGAGATCTACAAAATGCATTTTTTACATTTCCGTTCCAGGTTCAGGTAA